TTTCAAGTGCCGAATGCAACTAGTGATTATGCTGCGCTGTTTCTCCAGCCAACATACAATGGAAGTAGGAAGCTCCCTCTGTAGTCATTTTTTTGTACCGAAGCATCCGGGTCTGTAGGGCAGTCACGTCGCGCGTCAAGATCATGGAAAAGAACTCTGGGCCGCAAAGCCCGTTGGTATAGTGGCAGAAGAAAAGTTGATCGCCGACGGCCCGCCGGTGTGAAAAGGTCCCGAGTCTGTCTGTTAGAGAAGAGTCATCGATCAGTCGGAGGGCCCTCCTCTGGACAACATCGAGCATAAATAATATAGTCTTGGCGGCGACACCCCAAACGTGTAAGCCATACTCGAGGCTAGGCCTTTTCTGGGCCTTGTACAGAGTGAGGTCATGCGGAAGTACTTCTTAGCCCTAAACAAATAGCCTAGCTTTTTCCCAGCAGCTGCCGCTATCGACAAGACGTGTTCGTGACACATCAAGTCCTCGGTGATCTGGATTACGACGAGCCGAAATGAATGGCACTTTGGCAGAACTCGGCCATCCATCGAAACCAGATATGCACTAGGATGCTTTTTGTTCGTCAAGATACGGTGATTTAGAAGCATTAAACTGTACAAGATTGTTGAGTCCCCAAGCAATGATAAATTCCAGAGAGGAAGTCATCGCTAATTTTTTTTCCAGCTCAGCTGCTTATCACTTTGAATTTCTACATGTAGAGTGCCGTCATCAGCGAAGCTGTGGATTGGGTTAATCGTGCAGCAAAGGAGGTCGTTGATATGGAATGTCAGAACCAACGCCAATCCCTTGGGAACACCCGCGTTGACCGTGCGGGATGAAGAGGAGATCCCGCCAATTACGACGGATACCTTGCGGCCAGAGAGAAAGTCAGCCACCCATCTGCAAAGCTTTTCTGGGAGGTCATAGGATGGAAGCTTGCATAAGAGGGCAGCGTGTCACAGGTGATTGAACGCTTTCCTGATATCAAGACCAACGACATAAGCCTCACCATAATACTGGATTAGTTTACTCCACAATTGCGGAAGGTGAGCTAGGGAGGTCCCCAGTGCCCGTCGCTAATCAAGCCAAGACGTTCAAGGTTGTCCAGAAGCTCGCGATTTGTGCACCTCTCATCACCTTACTTATATCAGGAAGCAGAGCTTAGGCCTGTAGTTGTAAGGGTCGGTCTAAGATCCTTTTTTCGGGTGGGTTGGACATGAGCAAATTTACAGTTTTCTGGGAAGGTACCAAATTCATAAGATATCTGGAAGAGATCCGAAAGAACTGGAGCAAGCTCCGCTGCACACCTCTTCAGTACGATGGCAGGAATCAAGTCTGGACCAGAAGCTTTGTTGATGGAGTTGGCAGCAAAGATCTTGACAAGCATTTCCGCGTTGGCCTTCGAGTCGATTACAATCGTTCCCTCCTGACACGTAAGTTGTCGAAGGCTACTGTGTGAGAAGTTCTTTTCGATCTGCTTGGCCAGCGTTCAGAAAGGCCGACTGCCATTTGGTTGCGACATTACCTTGACAGATTAGACATATCTTTCATCCTTTTCAAAGGAATTGTACAAGATCTTCAAATTTGTGAAGTTAGCGAGTTTCACTTCATACGTTGTTACCAGACATGCCCAAATCATCAGTTGGTGCCATGAAAATCATATGTGCACTGATTGCCACGGTTAGATGATACCAAAAATATTTTCATAAATAGGAGAGCTTTTCCATTCCGAATCGAACAATCTACCAAAGATGGTTATAATCATGATACCTAGTAAATTTTCATGAAAGATCTGCTGTACGTAGGTATATCAGAGCTTTCTTATATTTGTTCATCAATTTTATGATACATCTGCCAAAAATGATCATAATCAGGATTTTAAACTATGACGAAGGTCCACTGTATGTAAGAATTTTCAGATACATTTGCATTTTGAAGGTACAACAGACCATGATGGTGTTCACACTTTTCAAATATTCTTCAAGAAGTGATGTCAGTCTAGCTCCAACTATCATAAGTACTATGTTTGTGTTCCTACTTTAAATTCAAAACCAGCAAATGTAATAGATTTAGTTTGCACCTTCCACCATGGGACGTGATCGTCCTTAGACTTGGCAACCCTGCGAGTTGCGGATAGATATCCCCGCCAATCAAAAATTCAACCAAACAAGAAAGAAACATAATTGATGTTTATGACTTCTGGACATTATTTGTGAAAGATTTTTCATAATTTTACGTTGATGTCCATAGTAATTACCTTGGGCATCACGGAGATGTAGGGATTTACACGTCTTACACATATTATGTGTTTTAGGATGGAGAGGACATATTGTTTTTATTGCTTTGAAGAAATTCATTAACCCACAAATTAATAAATGATTGCTATTATGATGTAAAGGAAGATGAGGTATTGGATGGAATGTATTTTATATTCTATTTTCTTGCTAAATACAGACAAATCCGCACTGTTCAACAGGTATGTAGTTATAATGATAGCATATAAACACACAGTATATTGAACTTAACAAATTCGAGATTACCATGCATTAACAAACGTCCAAACCTGCTGTTGAAGTTAACAGCTAGAAAATGGACCTATTATTTCTTGCATTCCCATTGGCTAAAAGGGGATAACGGTTTGTCAAATGTAAATTTATAAGATAAATCAAAATGCATGAAAGCTGTCCTGTTTCCTCTGTATAAAAGCATCATGTTGAAATCAAAAAGTGTTTTGGTTTATAACAAAATCACTTTCTGACGATTCTATTCAATATTTCCATAGAAATCACTGATATTCAGAGAGCTTAGACAGCTTCCGTCAAATTGCATTTCGATAAGATCCTTTCCCATTGGTCGACCTGACCGTCAAATATTGATGATGGTGAAATTGGCCCTAAACTGATTATAAAAATGTTCTAAATATATGGTTGTTTGGGTTAGGATAAAAAAAAACAATCAGCATTTCCACTGTATCGATAAAATGGTTTTTGCTGCTCTTTTATGCTGTTCATTATGCCTAAAGTGAGAAGACGACAAGATTTTGTCCTTCAGACAGCATGGAATCAGAAATGCCGTACATGGAGAGCTAGACGTACATGGCATGAAGGATGGCCCTCCACCAAGATCACCACCTTAGGTTTTTTGGCTTTACAGGATCGCTTCTCCACAAGGTCAATTTAGGACTATTGGCTTGCAATGCGAATTGTATCTCTTCGGATCAATAGCTTTGGACCGGCTGGCAGAAAATGGCTGAACTGTGACCTCGAATGGGATACCATTGTCTTTAGTGACGAATTCTATTCTGTTTGGATGACGTATATGTGCACCACACTGTGGGAGTTGAGGTATCGAGCGCGATTGCTTATAGATGCAGGTCACCTTTAGTATTCACCAGAGGCAACATGACCGCCGTGCATTACATCGAGGAGGAGGGGAAAATACATGTCTTACGTATACGGACACTTACGAACTCACTTTTTTAACAAGATAATGAGTGACCACATATAACCAGAGCTACGTTGGTCCATTTTGAAAACATGTCGATTTGTTGCCTTGACCCCGAAGGTCTCCCGATCTTTCACCCATTGAATAACTCTGGGCCATCATGGGAAGAATACTATATTACTTCATTTACCCCATCCTCTACAAACTCGAGCAGCAGTTCGGCACAAGGTTTAAGTAGCCTGGGATGAGTTAAAAAAGAAGGATTAGGAGTATGTCCAGACGAGTCCATAAGACACCGTGGAGTCCCAATAAATTATTGTTTACATTGTTTTTCAACAGGGGTATTTTTATGCAGTTTTCATCAAAGACTTGCCGAACCCTAAGTGACGATATTGCTGGGTGTTCTTTCTTCTATGTCACTTAATGTTTATGTGGCAACTTTGACAGGTATCTTTTACTCCGGCACGCTCGAATGTGAATGAAAACATTCTTCCCTCAGGGAAGATTCTAGAAGTTTCTTGTTATCGTGTCTAAGACGAATTTTTCATTCGAATACCTTAGATAAACCACTACGTTTAGGGAGACCAAAGGAGATGGCACATTCTTTAGGGTCGAATTGATTGCAATTTGAGTGTGATCAAAAAGCTTGATAGCAATGGTTTCCTAGCTACAGGGTGTGCAAGTGTAGCAAACTCAAAGACAGCGTTTCCTAAAAAAAGGCCAGCGGGACTCGAAAATCATTGATACACCAACCTTCTACTGCCCATGGATACTTTTGGCCGAATATCACACTTAAGTTCCAGCCAATATAACATGCATTTTTCATGAGAATTATAATGATTTGATACCTCGAAAGTATGTGTAAAAAGTGGCATCGTAGGAGCTACTCAGTTACTAAAGTTACTAATCAATGACGAAAGGAGTCAAAATCATGTTACTGGCTTGATATTAGGACCATAGTGTAATGAAGAGTTTTGATCAGGTTGGTATAAAGTATAGTAAAATTCCAGCCAGTTTGACAGGGAGCCATTTGCTAAATTCCACATATTTCTATTGTTTGTAGGCAGTCATTTTCTAAAAATGTATATGTATCTACCCTGGACGTTTAAAATGAAACAACTACGTGAAAATCGTCAGTTTGTATATCTGAAAACTTGTGATCTTTACTGAAAAATCTAATGCTAAATTTTGTACCGCCCCGTGTCTTCAAAATGGAGCGATAATTTGAGGATCGTTAAAGGACAAGATAGTCTTACTCATCTTTTGGAAACAACCTGTACATATTTGTAGAATGGGTAATAGGGGGCAGGTGCTGAAGATATATGGCAATATATTGTTCTTCTTTGTTGACAATTCATTTTGTTAAATTGGAGCGACTTTTTATATTGTCTAAAAAACATTAGAATTATGTAATCTAGCAACCTAATAGGCTCGTAAGCAATGTCGCGATAGAAGACTTGTTAGGCATGTTGAACAGTTAATACTACAGAGCTAAAGACTTCAATGATTGTTTAGTATAGAGGTCTTTGTGGAAAATATGAGAAAGATCATCAGAATGACTCACCTGGCTGACGGAACTACTAGCCCTTCTTGACCCAGATTCTGAGTAACCAGAATTGTATCCGACATTGACGTTACCTCTAGATCCAGACCTGTAGGGTGATGTGCTTCTGCCTCTCAGTCCTGAAATAAAAAATATCGTTTGATCAAACAGAAAGTACATCAAGACAGGACCCTGGCCGGAATGTCTTTGAAGATGCATTACCTATTACCTATTCTACCATGATTTACAAAAAAAACACCTATGGGCAAACCACCCTAAGTTTGGCGATTCGCTCATAGATGGCTCAGTGTCTGCGAAGAACCCACAACACCGTGTTGACGACCTGCCAAATTATTTAGAAACCGCTAAATTTATAACGAGCTGAATAACGTATTAATTCATTTCCGAAAAACATAATGCTATCATGATGTGCACCATTGGAAGGTAATGAATTGAGCACCCATTCAAGCGAAACCGTTTGTTAAAATATTAATACCAGATCTAATATACATATATAATAAAACATCTGAGAATAATATTTACTCCACTCCTCTAGTGAACGTAAAAGAATAATTAGAATGGTGTCTAATACCTTTTGTGATTGCTCTGATCGATACACTTGGATTAATGTTTTCAAGTGTGCCATGCACACATAAAAGAAATATATTCTAGGGGAGCATGTATGCATTTGACATATTGACCACACCTTAGATATCCGCCGGGTGGTACCTCGATGCTCGACGGTCTGACGGATCTGACGGATCTACCACTAACGGGGAATTACAACAACCGTAGCCAAGGGAAAAAGTGACTTGGGACCAGATTCAATTTCACGTAGATTAGGGCAACTAAAGCATGTCAGGCAGCGACAAGAGAACAGAAGCGATGATCGGGTGCTCATGTTTGTTTGACGCGGAGTAAATGAGGTATGGATATACTTTAGGTTAGTAAGCGCTCGCTATTCATAAATGAATGTTTAAACAAAAGTAAATTTAAACAAAAAAGCTCACTATAGGTGATGAACAATAAACTCATAACAACAACCTATATGTTCAAGCGTCATTCTGTCACTTTAAGGGTCGATGTCACCAAGGTTGTCAAATCAACAGTCCGTTATTCTCCACCTATAGGGTAACAGTCCGTCAAATACAACGAATGAGCTTCAAGTTCCAATTAACAGATTTTAGCAACCAGTAGCTATGAAATGTTGAAAACAAAATACTGTCAAAGTATAAGATGACAGCTTGTCATTGAAACATCACCAGCTTATTGAATTTCAAGAAATTACATATAATTCAGTCAAAATTTGGAGAAATGTTTGATTTTTGATTTAAATTCAAGTTTTAATTACTATTGTTGACTTTTTATTCATGTTTATATTATTTTCTTCTTATTTTACTGATTCAAGATCATCTACTGGGTGTTTTTTCCTATAAACCTCTTGCAGATACCCATTAAGCACCTACTTGATGACATGCTCTACCAAAGGATATTGCTCGTTTCCAAACATTCATTCATTTACTTGCCGTTCATCAGAACCATTATGGTACCTTAGATTGATATTCCCACAAAATCATTCAGGTTTTCTGATATCCATACATCCATAAAGTTGAATATTTTTCGTTGTTCAGGAACTGAACAAACATCCACACTATATTCACAGCGATTAAGAAATTCCCAAATATATGCCTTAAAGCTACCAGCAAACCTAAAACCTGCAAAAAAACTACAAATTTGACATATTTATCTTTTTTCACGAGTACAAATTCTAGGTTATATTTATATTAGACATTATTTGAATACAGCTGATTAATGCAATTCAAGAAGTGACACATGTGTGGAATTCAATGACAACACCGTGACTTGTGTGGTTGTCAGCCGCCATTTTCTGAGGGTGCGACATGGTTGCCAGATTGTGCATTAATATGCCGTTTCACCCCCCTGGTCCCAGTGGAGTAAGCTTCGCCAACTGTTGAAATATACTCTACTATGTTTTTCCCAAAATCGTTGCAAAACACTTGAAAAAATGCAAATGAAAATTTAAAATTATTTCCATGACGCCGCAAAATAGCTCCGCCGGTACCTCGGGTTATACATCTTGACAGTAGGGATGTTCGATACGATACTATATTTACAAGTATCAATAAATTTCATCAGTGTCGTCATCTTTCGATCCGGACTGTGTCAGAAAGAGTGACTGCCATTTGGCTGCGACATTACCCGGCCAAATCAGACATATCTTTCATCATTTTCAAAGAAATTGTACAAAATCTTCAAATTTGTGAAGTTAGCGAGTTTCACTTCATACGCTGTTACCAGACATGCCCAAATCATCAGTTGCTGCCGTGATATCCATCACGACCACTGCATCCCCACGGCTAGGCGACCTGTGTGTTAAATTTGTATTGATAGGACAGCGGCTTGTGCTATGAATCATATGTCGCATTTTTTGTGCACTGATTGCAACGGTTATATGACCAAAAATATTTTCATAAGTAGGAGATCTTTCCCATTCCGGATCGAACAATCTACCACAGATGTTTATAATCATGATACCTAGTAACTGTACATGAAAAATCCGCTGTATGTAGGTATATAAGAGCTTTCTTATATTTGTTCATCAATTTGATGATACAACACATCTGCCAAAGATGATCATAATCAGGATAGTAAACTATGACCACTATATGCAAGAATTTTCAGATACTCCATTTGCAATTTGACAACAGACCATAATCGTGTTCACACTTTTCAAATATTCTTCAAGAAGTGTTATCAGTCTAGCTCCAACTATCATAAGTACTATGTTTGTATTCCTACTTCACATTCAAAACCAGCAAATGTAAAAGGTTCATGTGGCACCCTCCACCACGGGACGTGATCGTCGTTAGACTTGGCAACCCTGCGAGTGACAGATAGATAACCCCACCAGTGAAAAAGGCGATCAAACAATAAACATTAATGGTTTTTATCATTTTTGGACTTAAAAGGCATTATTTGTGAGACATTTTTCATATTTTTTCGTCTATGTCCATAGTAATTGCACTATGCATCACGGAGATGTAGGTATTGACACGTCTTACACATATTATCTGTGTTTTAGGATGGAGAGGACAATGTCTTTATTGCTTTGAAGAAATGCATTAACCCGTAAATTAATAAATGATTACTTTTAAATCCACACTATTCAACAGGTATGTAATGATAACAGTATATTGAACTTAAATTCGAGATTGCCATGCATTAACAAACGTCCAAATCTGCTGCCAAATTTAACAGCTAGAAAATCGACCTATTATCTGACGCATTCCCATTGGCTTTGGGGATAACTGATTGTTAAATGTAAATTTATAACACAAATCAAAATGCATGAAAGTTGACCTGTTTTCTCTGTACAAAAGCATCATGTTGGAATCAAAAATTGGTCTTGTTTATAATACAGTCGAATTTTCACGATTTTATTCAATATTTTAATAGAAATCACTGATATTCCGAGACTTTTGACAGCTTTTGTCAAACTGCGTTTCGATAAGGTATGTTCCCATTGGTCTATAATGCCTCTCGTATCTTATTTGCACCCGACGTGGGAAAAGCTGCCCTCCAAAGTTTAAACATTGCAGCAAAGCTGTAACGTAACAACCTGTCTACACTACCTTGCTTTTAAAGTACTGCCCTATTCGTGTAACCAGAGCGAAAAACGAGGATAAGGTGTATATTGTCCCTGATAGATAAATGCAAAAAATCTATTTCAGACATAAAATGTGATTTTTTTCGAGATTGAATATACTTCAATCGGTAGTCCTTTACCAATATGTGTACACAAGAAGTGTCAACTTTCGTCGGTTCCGTTATCGTCATTCATTATGAATGACAGACATCGCAAAAGCTCCTCGGTCTCTCGAGTGCTTTCACCTACTTCCGAAATGTTACGCAAACTTTACTGGAAGTGTAAAACTGCGCGGTTGCTCTTTGGTGCTGAATACATTTTCCCGGACCTTCGTTCAATCCATTGTACTTCCCACGCCTGGTGGCGAAGGAATTATAGCAATGGAGAGAAATTTCGAAAATGACATAATATATTTTTTTAAGTTATATGACATGTACATCACGAAAAACCATGTCACTCATTTCCTTCGGTCTGTCTGTCTACATGTCGGTCCGTCAGTCTGTCGGGCTGTCCGCTTATTTTTGACCCGTCTATAACTTCGGATACTGCTCGGACTTAGCTGAAAATTCTATACATAGTAATCCATACTTCGCATGGACCCTATGCCAAGGATAAAGAAGTTTTGTCCTTGCCATAGTCCAGTAGCGGCATAGAAAGGGGCAAAAAAATAAAATTCGCTTAAGCTTCGTTTTTCGACCTTCCAAAGGGTCCTGATCACTTTTGGAAAATTTATCAGACGGAAAAAATTATGGGGTGGGGGTTGTAGGAGGACAGGGGAGAGAGTATCGTTACTTGAAGTTTGGAAGTTTCATTAGTATACTTCTAACATCGGTGATTCTTCGCACCTATTAGACATATTTCGCATTTATCCGAAAATGTGCCCTTACAATCACAACACTCCAAAAGGTGTTCGATTTGTTGACAGTTTCTTGACGTTCATCCCTCATTAGCACCTCTGCATCTTTTGTAATGATTTTGTTGACTCATCTATATTCCGCTAAATTTGCTTTATGCTTCTTTTATTTATAATTTCTTGTGTCGTCCAGTCTTGTTTTTTTGCAAATCCGATGTCTTCCTCTTAGGTTAGGTTTTTTGTAAGTCGGCAAATCACCATCCTCCTCTGCGACTAACTGGTCTATTGTGACTCAAACCTCTACTTGCTGTACTACTCCCCCAAGTTAGTCATACCTGACTGAGGTAGTTACAGGACTTCTGCAAAGGACATACTTAACCGTTTCGTCTCCTTCCATGGTCAGTCTACACTGAGCGTCTTCCGCCTTGCCCAGCCTGTTGTGACGCAATTTGCAATGACGAGTATATAGTCTCACTAAAACTTTAAGGCTATTCAAGTTTAGCCTCAGATGTGAATCTTTTTTGTTAAGATTGGTATAATTGCCTTAGCATGAGTTAATACTGTTAATTCCTCACAGCGTTGGTGGATCTTTCCTTCGATCTCTACAGACACTATGAAAG